CTGAAGCTCTTTTGTGGTTTAAATCTAGGACTATAATCAGTTAGCTTGCCAGAACTATCACCTAAAATTGATCCTCATGCATCTTCAGCTCTAGTAGGGTTTCATAGGAACTGAAGGCCAAAGCTCTCACAACGACACATTTGTCTAAGAACAGCTGCATAATTACTGGTGTGTGGTAAAATGAGCCATGAACCTTCTATTCTACCATCTTGATGAAATCCCTTTTTGAGAGGGAGGGAGGGGAGACAGGGAGAAGAAAAGAGAGAGGGGAGGTGAAAGAGAGTGAAAGGAGAGAAAATATGAGAATATAATATAAAATTGGGTGAGTAGGAATGTGAGTAGGAAGGAGCTTGGGGGAATGTGATCAAATATTTTATAAAAATAAAAATGTAATCAGCACATACACATGCATAAACACACACACAAAAGTGTAGTAGATTTCTATATATTCTTACCAACAATTACTTGATGGATTTGCTTTGGTGTCAAAACTTTGCTGCAGTCACGTTTTTCATGGTAAGTGGTTGGCTTTGATTTAATTCCTTTGGAGATCTGTTTTCCAAAGAAATTCATTCAGTATTAGTAAGAGCCATTTTTCAATTCTCATGAAAAAACAAATTTGAAAACATGGCACATGCCTTTCTCTGCAGAGATTCTGTCTCTCTGGATGCTATTTTCTTGGTGCTTAGCAATCTTTTAACTCTGAGAGAAGAAGCCTTTAAAGATGAAGGTATCTCCTCTTCTATTTCTGATTGAGATAGTGATGGTGACTTTAGACCAGATGATGGCTCCATGCCTATATCTACTTCATTAAATGGAAACTTGCGTTCCCTACAAAATAATGATGATGATAAAATAATAATAATAATGACTAATTGAGGAAAAGTTGTTCACAAAATACAGTAATAAGTGCAAATTTCCTCCACTGTTATAGGCTTATCCATATCCATTTGACTGAACTGGTATACTAATCTGAAGGATGCTTGCCTCCACTAAGAAGGCCTCCACTCTTCTGCAACACCTCATAGAAGAAGTTATAACTACCCCTATTTCTTTTTCACACGCAAAAGGCAGAACACAGTCACTGAGTGGTTTGGACCAAGGAGAAAAGCCTCTTTTTTTCAAGACAGAAACAATGATGCAGCTCCAGCAGCCAGTCAACGGAAGGGAATCCTGTGGCCAGGCCTCTCCACCACCCCTGCCACCTACTGGATCCTGTAACCTACAAGTCCCACCCCACCCCCCAAACACAGGGAACCCAGCAACTGGGATGGGGTAAGAGGGGAGGGGATGAGGAATGAGGAAATCAGGGAATAAGATGGTCGAGCAGGGGGAGGGACAAAGAGGGAGAGCAATGAAAGAGATGTCTTGATAGAGGGAGCCATTATGGAGTTAGGGAGAAACCTGGTGCTAGGGAGATTCCCAGGAATCCATAAGGATGATCCCAGCTAAGACTCCTAACAATGGTGGAGAGGGTGCCTGAACTCTGTAATCATAGAGCCTTCGTCCACTGACTGATGGAAGCAGATGCAGAGATCCACAGCTAGGCACTGGGCCAAGCATCTGGAGTCTAGTTGAAGGAAGGGAGGAGGGATTTTATGAGCAGGCAGGGGTCAAGATCATGATGGGGAAACCCACAGAGACAGCTGACCCCAGCTAGTGGAAACTCTGGACCAACAGTTAGGGAGCCGGCATGGGACTGACCTAGGGTCTCTGCATGTGTGTGACAGTTGTGTAGCTTGGTCTGGTTGTGGGGCCCCTTGCAGTGGGACCAGGATTTTTCCCCGGTACATAAGCTAACTTTTTGGAGCCCATTTCCTATGGAGGGGGATACAGGGAGGAAGGGCTTGGGCCTGCCTCAATTTGATGTGCCTGCCAGACTTTGTTGACTCCCCATGCTCTCTTACAATCTCTGAGTAAGGAGTGGATGGGGGGTGGGTAGTGGGTGTTCTGGGAGGTGGGAGATAGCGAGAAGAGGGGAGGGAGGGGAAACTGTGGTTGGTATGTAAAATGAAGAAAGAATTTAAAATAAAAAAGATAGAAACAATGATATCATTTATGTTAAAAAAAAATTGGCATCAGGCTGCTTACAAACTTAATTTGAAGTACATCAATTCTTCCCTTGCTGCACTCTGATTCCTACATCCTACAAAGCTTTCTCTTGGGAAATATGCTTTTAGTGAATCACATACAATAGAATCCCTACCTCAGGATCTGCTTCTAGCAAAAACTACCTAAGAAAACTGCAAAGAAAAAGTTAGCAAAAGTTACTGTAGCTCAAGTAGTTAATTGTTTTGCCTTTCACATATATTGAAATGCTACTAAAACAACTCAAAGTAAAATCAAATTTAAGGCATAAAGAAACAAATTTGATATTAACATGGAGATTAAAATTTGAATCATCTATATAAACATCATAAAATGGACTTTGTGTATTTGTTTTTTGATAAAACACTCAAAGCACAGACGAATGGGACTTTATCCAGCTAAGTAGCTTCTGCAAAGGAAAGGAAATGATAAAAAGTAGAAACCACTGCTGCAATGGGGAAAATATGAAAATTATCATCTGGAAAGAGATGTATCCAGAATACGAACATAACTAAAGCCCCCTCAATGGTCAAACTGCATTGTGTATAAATGAGATGAGATGAATACATACTCCTTAAGGAAGGAAAACCAATGGCCAACAAAATTTAACTTATAAATCTCAGTGTCTTCAGTCACCAGAAAAACAAGAATCAAAATGACACAGATTATCAGTTCATGTCATTGAAGTGGCTATTATTAAAAAGATGAAGTATAACAAATGCTAAAAAGATGTGGTGAAATGCAAATCCAAAAACATTTTGGGGGTAATATATAGACACCATGGAGACGAGGATGGAGGAACACAAACTCCAAAAACAAAGTAATGACAAAGAAATTAAGGAAGCACTAGTTACTCTGATTTGATCCAAATACATTATCCTGAAATTTCACATTGTTCTTCATAAGTATCTTCAATTATTACATTGATTAAAAGCTATAAAACTGTTTATGATGTCAATGCCAAATACCCTGATTTGATCACTATATCTAATCATTATACTGTACTCCTGAAAATTATGTTCAAATAATCAGTTTAAGAAGAAAACCAAATCTGGTCTTTAGGCACATTGTTTGAAGAACTATCTTTACCTCTGTGCTTCTTTCTGTAGGCGTACATTTCTTAAATTTCTAATATAGTCTCTGTAGTATTCTCGATGTATTTTTTTTTCCAGTTTTTCCAAATCAGTGTATTCAAAATCAGGATCCATATAGTCATGCCTTGGCATCTTTGTGAAAATTGTTCTACAAGATGAACAAGATGTCATGTTAAAATACACACACACACACACACAAACACACACACACACACCTGTTTAATCAGTATATACAGAGTACCTACTGGTCAATTTAAATGTCAAGTGGGGGGCCATTAACTATTGAGTAGGATAAACTGCATATCTTCTGATATGCAAAGACATCATTGCATGTACGAGGGTGAGATGTACGTGTGTTTGTGTGTGGTGTGTGTGTGTGTGTTATAAATATATGTATGTATATATCTTTTAAAAATTACAACCAGAATTAGAAAAAATAGAGAATACTGAATCTTTTCACTAAGTATACTACTGTTAGATTACATATCTTCTGGGTACCCTTTGCTCTCTCCCAGAAATCAAGATCATGGAAAAAGCCAGGTGGCACTATGAGACAGAGAACTGCTAAGAAATCATTCTGTGCTACTGCCTAACAGATTCTCCCACATTTAGTTGCAAAATAGGCGTATGATGGTACCAAAGTGCTTGCCCTAATGCCAAAGCTGAGGCTAGGCTAAGAAAAATCACATGATTTGAAACTTGTCCACCTGACGAAAACCTCTAAAAGGCAGAAACCCTCTTTGTTTCCTGGAACTGAAGGGTCTGTCTCTTCCATTAAGAAACAGAGAAGCTATCTCTTCTTATGGTTTTCCATTTCAAGTCCAGATCCTGGATGCCAGTGATCACGAGGCTCTCTCTTCTATTAAAGATCATTCTGAAGGGTAATTCCTGTCATTTCCTTTCTAGGAACCTGATGGAGGAGGAATTGTATTGTTCTAACAACGACTTCCTTAAATTCTAGAGTTCACTAAGCATATAGAATTATATATGTAGCTTTTAGTACGCACTATTTTTCCAATATGTAATATACAAACAAAATTTATTATGTAACTAACTCATTTCTCTTATTTATTTAAAAACAGCTTATTGAGTCATTAGTGTTGTATGTTGTATGGCTATTTTCTTTCCAGGTATAACATGATCAACCAATCACCATTTTAGAGTAGAAATTACCTATTCCTGGTAGCCACAACAACTAATTGAACAGAACAGTATAGTGAAAGCTAGAACTATAGTTATGGTAATGAAGCTGTTCATATATCCTATTAGTAGAAGGAAAAAGAAGCCATAGGATCCTCAACTGGGACTACAGCCATTACATATTCCTGTCCTCTTCCAGATGCAAGTAATCTTGGGAAATGCTACTGGAAGACTGAATGAAAAGGGGACTCTACGATACAACTTCCATGATGGCCATTATCCATGATGCAGTCACACTTTGCAGGAATGTAGCTATTTTGGGATCATGCACATTTATTGCTAAATAACCACTCCAAAGTACTCTAAAAAAAACCCACTGATTTGGTCACAAATATGAACTTTGAAGGAATTACTTTGTTCTGTTGATGGTGCCCTATCTGAAATAAATTGATATTTATTCAAGTCTCCCAAGAAAAAGTTAACTCAACATTCACCTGTATTCTTGGCAATGGTACAAGTAAAGGGGACACTGCTATGAATAAAATTCTCTTATTTTCTTCTCAAAAACTAAAAGGGTTAAATACACAAGAGTAAAATAGTAATTGTAATTTTAACAAAACAACAAATGCACTAGAATAAAATTTCTTTCTTTTTTTTTCTTTTTCTTCTTTCTTCTTTTTGTGTAGGAGAAATATACTACCACTCAACCTCTACTGTAAGGTTGACAGCCCTGAGAACTCCTCGTGTAATGTAGCATGTTCTGGATGTATAAAATTTCTTTAGTTTCCTTAATTAAACATGCAATTGGTAACATTACTAGACTTAGTAATGTGAAAAACTTTTGAGAGAATAAATATAGCTATTAAATAATAAGAATGGCTAAATTTATTTTTCTGTTGATTTTTATGATCTAATCAATAGAGACAGAATACAGGATCAAATTGTTAAAATTAAATCAAAATGTAACCTTCTTTAGAATATAGGCTTATAAAACAGTCAAAAATGTTTCCAGAAACTATCAACTCAGGGTACTGGAGGGGATGTAATGAGCCAGAAGAAAACATACAATTGTGTTTTCATAACGTATAACTATTTTAAATGTCAGGATGGTTTTTGTAGTTCTGTTTTTATGGCACTGGTCAAATAGAAACAAAGAAAAGAAAGGCAGATGTGAGTGGGATTTGTAAATTAAAATACCAAGAAAGTCAGTAAATGTCATAGAATTTTTCCATTGTGGATAATAAAAATGTGGGCTGAAGAATCAAATGGTAAACTAGGAAAGTTGATACAAAATTAAATGATCTTAATGACACCCTCCCCAAGATAAAGAGACAAGCAGAAAAAGTGCAGGGCTATTATTAAGTTTCAGTAGTCTACTATTAGCATAAAAGTTGGCATAAAATAACCCTCATTTACTCTTGAATGTATTAAAATCTTTCTGGGATGAATGTCTACAATATCATTTATTTGTCACTTTTAACTTACCACTGGTAAATTAGTAATCTCTTTGAGGTTATGATGACTTTAAATTGAAGTTTAAACATTCCTTATGAACTTAAACCTGAGAAGTGGTCAAGTGGGGAGGAGTTACTAGAAATGTGCCTGTGAGGTGATAAAACAATGTGATGGCAACACTATCTGGTTTCCTACAAATTAAATTGTTTTATTCAAATAAACTCAGGAGTTTAATTCCAATTCTAATAGTGATTAAGTTTATCATGTATCTATTGTTGTTCCTAATATATTTTAAAAATTATTTTGTATGCCATTCATTGCCACACAAGTACACAGTAGAGAGTATAAAAAGTTAGATAAGGCAAATACTGTAACATTCAACAGTCATTCTACTCCACATACAAAAGGGAAAACATAATTTCATTCCGATTACTATCACCAGCAGCTTGCTTTCCTGTTTTAACACCAGGATATTGTCAGATCTCTGCATATTACCCTGGATATTATGTCTTTTTAATTTTAATTTCTTAATATTTCACAGTACCTGAAATGTTCGTGGTGGTCTCCACACCTGAGACTTGCAGCTCTATCATTAGGAAAGGCAATCATTGCATCCTTCTCTGACACATCATTTATGCGATGATTATGAAGTTTTGTCATGGTTGACCGGAGCATTGCTGCTACAGGGGGTAAATCATCCTTTTCCTCTGAATCTTTAATCACAAATTGTCTTGTGGGATTACTGATCAAGGGGGATATACCTTTAATAAAATTAAAAATTAAGTTGGTATTTGGTACTTTGTATTGTACATTTCCAAGAATTAGCCAAGGATTATTTAATATACTAGTTAACTAATGTGATGTTTTGAATAAGAATGGCCCTCATAGTCTCATAGATTTAAATATTTGGCCATTAGGAAGTGGTACTGTTGACAGAGATTAGGAGGTGTGGCCTTGGAGTAGGTATGATCTTGTTGGAGAAAGTATGTCACTGGGGGTGAGCTTTGGGGTTTCAAATGCTCAAGCCAAGCCCAGTGTCTATCTCTTCCTTCTGCCTGCCAAAACACATGTAGAACTCTCAGCTTCTTCTCCATCACCATGTCTGCCTGCATGTAATCATATTTCCTACCATGATAATAATGGACTCAACCTCTGAAACTGTAAGAAAGCCCCCAATTAAATGCTTTCTTGTAGCTGGGCGGTGGTGGTGCACGCCTTTAATCCCAGCACTCGGGAGGCAGAGCCAGGCAGATCTCTGTGAGTTCAAGGCCAGCCTGGGCTACCAAGTGAGCTCCAGGAAAGGCCCAAAGCTACGCAGAGAAACCCTGTCTCAAAAAACAAAAAAACAAAAAAAAAATTCTTTCTTGTATTAAAGTTGCTGTGGTCATGGTGTCTCTTTACAGCAATAGAACACTAGACAATTCATTTTAATATGCTAAGTTCTCAAACATATTGAGAAAATACAAATGACTTAATAGAGTGTATAGGCCTACATAAACTAATTTAGCAAAATAATACTTAAATGTTAATAAAATGTATGCATAACAATTAGCATGCTAATTTGAAGATTTAAATTAATCCATGTGAAAGTGAAAGGTATTTTTAAGCTAAAGACAAGTGTAAATCACCAAGTTCATGTGGTACAATTAATAAAAGATTATATATGACTAGATGAAACTGCAGGACCAAGAAAATCTGGATATAGTCAAAACTAGTTTACATTAAACTCCAACAAAAATATACAAAGAATATGACATAGCAACCATTAAAATATTTGAGCATCTGTATAAGACACCTCAAAATAGCAATATGACATCTACTAAAAATATGACAGAAGTGTAAATCTTTGGTATATACAGAGAACTACTTAATAATCAATACTAGAATGCAGGCCCTATATTTGAACAAGCCTTCTAGGTGACTTTGATAGATGCTTTTAAAAGGGGGGAGTACTGGTTTTAATCCTGTTTGGTACATATATTCTTATATTAAAAACAACAATCACATCAGAGCTGTGTAAAACTAATACAATAACATACCAGGATTAATTTTCACCCCGACTTTCTTAGTGCAAGCTTTGCAAGTGCTGTTGAATTCTAAATATATATAATGAAAAGGTTTCATTGACAAGGACCGTAAATTTTCATCTGCCACTGGGCCGATAATCTCAATCACTTGCTTCACTTTAAATACTCCAATTTGATGTGGAACAAATGAACATATCACATTCTAAAGAAAAAGCAAACTTTATCAATATTCTATTGTTAGGAAAACTAAAAACAAATCTTAGAATACAGGGTATTGTAATTTTAAGCAACAGGATTTCACCATGGAGATTTATAAGCACTTTTAGGAAAGATCAACAACAAGCCATACAATGCTCATTATTGGAAATTTAAGAAAATTTTAGAATATAATACAACAGTATTTCAAGAACAAAAGATAAAAAATCTCCAGATCCACTTTCACACAAAAATAAATGACAAAATTCATTCATAACTTTCCTGGTTATTTAGAAATTATCTAAGGCTTACAAGAATTCAGTAATTTAATATCAGGAATCTTGCTGAATGTCTGAAAGCTGTCATGGCATTTTGCTTGCTATAGTCTCATTCACCTAAACTCAGTTTTGTGGTCAGCATCTATGATAGCTGTAACAATTAGTACTAACATCCAAAAAGAGAGAAGTGTGGGTTTGAAAAACTCCAGAAAACACATTTCCAGAGATTATGCTATTGGTTCTGCCTAGCAATTGCTGAAAAATATTTAAGGCATATTTTTATTTGCTGTAATTCAGAGTACCCTCTGTAATAACAATCCTCTGAGAGAAAGAGAGGGAGGAGCTAAGGAAGGAAGGGGAGAGAGAGAGAGAGAGAGAGAGAGACAGAGAGAGACAGAGAGAGAGAGAGATGAATATTACAAGAACTTGAATTCTCTTGTCATTTAATGTTTAAAGAAGCTATTAGAAAATAAATAACTGAATTACTAATTTATATTAATAATTACTAATTATATTCATAGAGTGTTTTCAAAGCTCTGCATTGAAAGAGGAAGTAAATTTAAACAGGTAAAAAAGAAAGAAACAAACCCAGAGACACTCTTGAGAAACAGTTACTGGATGTTACCTGGTGAGAAGCAGCTGCTTATACTTCACCTATAAAAGGAGAACGTTTTGGCATAGGAGATCACTTCCTAAATATAACACCAGTAGCA